TTGTCCTGGCTGTGAGCTGCCTTGGCAGCAACTGCCCCTGCTGCAAATCATTAACACTGTGCACAGGTATTGCACTGTGTTCACTAGGAGCTTCTCTGGACACCAGGAATCGCCTGGAAACCCTGAGTGCTGCAGTACTGTGCACCTGTGCACAGCAACACCCCTCACTCCTAATACCTCCCCCCGGGCACAGCTAAAGCCTTGCTTCTGTCAAAGCAGCCCAGAAGCCGTGAGGCCGCACTGCAATCTTCACCATTCTCTGCTCTGCTGCTGCCCCAAGGCTGAGCACACAGACTTCACATCAAAGGGACCCGGGATGGCTGGACAGGACAGATGCAGGCAGCAAGGGCTCAGTTCAGGGCCCCTGAGCAGCAAAGCTGAACTGATTAATGTCTCTGTTAATGGCTGGACAAACAGTAATGACAAGACGAAAGGTGAGCACACCTGAAACCAGTCACTTGAGAACATTCTGGGTGTGGAAGCTGAAGCTGCAGAGCCTGCTCGCTTCACCAAGTGCTGTGAGGAGGAGGTACAGTAAAATCATTGTCAATGTAAACCAGGTGAATTATCACATCTTGAGGGAAAAAGTGATCAGTAGCAGGAACCTGGTGCCCTCAGGCACCTGACAGTGGCTGAGAAATTGAGACATTTTTATCTAGATTGCAGCAATAGGTAAACTCACTTCTAGGCCAGTTAAACAAAAAAGAGCATCATTCATGTTGGCATGGGAACATCCTCACCGAGCAGCTGATCCTCAGTCAGCCTTCCTGGGAGCACGGCCCATCTTGGTGCGGATGTTCCGCAGAAAGAAGAAAGCCACCGTGCTACCGATACAGGTGACTTCGGCTACCCAGAAGGCTGTGGCCCAGCTGTAGTGCTTGGCGATGGTACTGAAAGGCAGTCCAGCCAGGAAACCCCCAACTGTAAGGAAAAACAGAACCCTTGCAATGCTTCTGTGCCCCCATTTAGCCTGCCAGTACTTCTACATGTATACACAGTCCTCAGGCCTGACAGCACTACACCAAACCTATCGGGCACAGCAGGAAGCATCCCCCAAGAGCTCTACTCTCTCTGCTCCTTAAGTGGCTTCCCATGATCAGTAACTCAGCACCCAGGGGCTAGGCCACACTCCATCAGGAATACACACAGGTTTGGTTGCTTTTTTTGGGGGAAACGGGTGTTACTCACCGTTTGCCATGAGGGCCACGATGGCATGGGAGGTGCCGCACAGGTTGGCAGGGGCACTTTCGTTGGCTATCACCCCAAACAGAGCAATTGGCCCATAGGAGGAGAACCCGAACAGAGCTCCCAGAGTCAGGATCCACAGCTGTCAAAGTAAGTTAAGATCAGAAACAGGATCTGTGCATCTCACCTCTGTCAGTGACCAGCCACTGACAAATCTCAGGTCCCACACATGGTACAGGGAAGTTTTGACATTTTCTGGCTGACACCAGCTCCCTGGCCTGCAGCCAGGAGAGCTCAAGCCTGTAACAGCATGCTTTTTGAATGGTGAGGGTTTTTTAATAAACACCACTTCTAAAAGCCCAGAAGGAAGCAAGTACCATCTTATTTCCCAGATGTGAAACAGAAACAAGTTAGGA